TCCTTTATCTATTAAAAACTTAAGTTTTACTTTAACTACGTAATAGTGAAAATAACGTAACAGAACCGCATTTAAACCTTAAAACTTTTATATCCAATTGGCTATTTCATTTTTATACCCATGTCCCATTCCAAGTTAAGAAAAATTTTAAAGTACAGGGGACGTGATGTTCTGCACATTATACCACACCGCTAATATATATTTTAGCTTATCGCACTACTTTCTCTAAAAAAGTACGTCAAATTACATACCCATATAAATACATACCCATATTAATATCAAACGCTACGCTTAGATTATTCAGAACACTGTTTTACATGGAATAGTATTTTTTTATTTCCATATTTGTATCCTATCCGTAGTGGTGAGATAAATAAACACTTTGATACCAACAATACTCTTAATACAAACAAACTATAAGCTTAATGTGCTTTAAGCAAGAATTTCGCAACAATTAGCCCAAAATACGTATTTAATTTTGCAGACGTTATATTCATATACTCGTATACACATTAAGGACTGTTTTTTAATAAGTTTGGTTTTGAAGCAAGCTTTTGTGCTAATTTCATGCAATAAAATAACCAATTGTGATACTAAACTAAGCTTAAGCAGTGATAATACCGCTTCATGGGGTATGTTCCAAAATAGAACCCAGTGTACTGTCTAAAGCAAATGACGTCATGAATCGACGCTATACTGGTGATTCGTTCCATAACATAGGACATTATATGACGTCATACATTTGTGTCATATTGGAAAAGTGTTGGCGATTATTTTGTCATTATGTGCTCCAAAAATCATTATATCCTCCTAATAAAGATACCAGCAATTATTCTATAATATTTTGTATTTGAATAAATAAAAACAAATTCTGGCATGCTTCCTTTAGCGCACACACAATTAAAAATTGTTTTATTATGGCTGGATATCCGACACAATATGGCGACGGCACGCCAGTACAATATAGTGTCAACTGATGACGTCATTTGTTTTCGGCAGTATACTGAAAACGTTTCGGAACATACCCATTATGCTGGCGTGTGGAAGTGAAAGGCTGTTTCCGCTTGTTGCAGGGCGGCCAATGTGCTACTTTGGTGAGCAATCTCGCGTGTTGTGTGCATCGGTAACCATCCCCACTCTTCTTATTCATTCATACATTTGCTAAATTAACAATTTGTTTTTGTGCTTACGTCTTCGATTTAATTTCATTTTTTCCATTTTTATAATTATATTAATTTGAACAACTAATTGGTTGAAACATTGCTTACTATTTTGTTAAATCGAAGACATATTCATATCATTTCAGACGTCATTTTGTATTATTTGCATGTTATATTCTTTCCTTGTCATGATCAAGCATGGTAATATTTCTACCGGTTTGCATAAATTTTTTATAAAAGACTGCTATGAGCATGCTGGCATAAATGATTCCTACATACAGTCTTCCATCCGTCAAATTCATAACCCATTTTAAGTTTTCAAGTCCATTTTATTCCACTAGAATTACTTTAGTTTTAATAGCTACCTAGTTACTAAACTTCGATTCATATATTTCCATGATGAATGACAAACATAAGTAAATTTTAATTAGTTATTTATTACACATCATATGTAATTGTGATTTTGTCGATATCTTGCTTGTGATAAAGATATAGTCAATATTCTTAACATTGGTATTCCTATTAGAATATAGAGCTCTGGTGATATTTCACCAGGAGAGTTGATGATACAATAATACATTGTGTTTATAAAAAATAAATTAAGTATTTTTCATACTACTATACTTTAATGTTAAAAAAATTTAAACCTAAATCAAGCGTTTCTTTTTATGAATTTGTATCTACATATGTATGGTACTTGAGGTACAAACCTAAGGCCATAGCGTGACACTGTAATTGCATACATTTTAACGTTTGATTCGGTTTAAAAGAACTTCTCTCGTGCTTATATCAATACCATCTAGGCATTGTCGTAAGCATGAGGGAGGACCCCGTCACACGGCCCATTCTAAGCCCACTCATACCTATAGACTCCTTTACTGTCTATTGTCTGTTAGCAGCTAAAAAGACGACCATTTCACTGTTCCTTGGGTTATACATGATTATTTTTATTGTTTAACTATTGTCTTTTTGCGGACATGAAAGTTGGAAGTTGGTTGTATAGTAAGAAAATTTAGAAAAGAAAAAAATCTGATAAGACCGATGTCAGTTGTTTGCGCCAAGTATGTAATATAGTATAAGTCTGTTTTGTTTTAAATTATTGAATACGGATTTTAAATAAATTGTTTAAAAGTTAATGTAATGCACATTTTAAGTTGTCAAAACATTACTCGAATAACAGTGGAGAAGACTAACTGTGTACTCGTTTTGATATAAAAAATATATTGCACTAAATTAGTTGATAAATATTTCGAGAAAGGGACATTGGAATCGCGCTGAGATGGGTTAATATTATGAAGAAAATCTATAAACATTAAGCGTAAAAGAATCTCAGAGGAACTCTTTTTACACAAATTTTGCAAAATAACTGACTGACAAAATATTTTTTTCCTAAATTCTAATGTCGAAGATTTTCTTCATTCTGCACCATCTAAACCTAATCAGTTATACAGAATTATGGTTCATAAAAGATAGCTTGATCTCTGCGACAGCTGTCAGTAAAAATCACGCCTATGAAGTCCTGAATTTCTTAGTAGTACAGACAGTACCTGTCAATGTCATACTTTATGGGCATGCACTAATTAGGGCGGCATGCCCATAAAGTATGACATTCACAGGTACTGTCTGTACTACTAAGAAATTCAGGACTTCATAGGCGCGATTTTACTGACAGCTGTCGCAGAGATCAAGCTATCTTTTATGAACTATACGAGGGTGGATTGAAAAGTACTCGGCCTAACCAAGAAAATAAACACATACTAAATCAGTTATATTTTTATTTTTCTACATAATCACCATCAAGTTCAATACACTTTTGCCACCTCCCCCTTCCAAGCATTTAGACCGTTGAAAAAAAATGATTCTTCCTTAGAGTCAAAATATGCGTCTACAGCTGCTTTGACCTCGTCGTTTATCGAAAATCTTTGACCTCCCAAGTGCTTTTTTAGTTTAGGGAACAGAAAGAAGTCTGATGGTGCCAGATCAGGTGAATACGGCGGATGCGGTAACAGTTCAAAGCCACAGTTGTGAATTTCAGCCATTGACTGTACTGACGTGTGAACACGGGCGTTATCTTGATGAAACAGGACTTTTCTTCTAAGCATTCCTCGACGTTTTTCTTTTATTTCCTCTCGTAAACGACGTAGTAAGGTGCAGTAGTAATCAGAGTTTATAGTCTGACCCCTTTCAAGATAATCAATCATAATCACACCTTTCGAGTCCCAGAATACTGAAGCCATCACCTTATTTGCCGACAAAATCGACTTAGCCTTTTTAGGGGGTGGTGAACCAGGTCTTCTCCACTGTTTTGATTGTTGTTTTGTTTCCGGTGTACAGTAATGAACCCATGTTTCGTCCATAGTAACAAAACGATTCAAAAAATCATCTGCATCGGCTTCAAATAACTCCAAACAGTCGCGTGAAATAGTCAATCGCGTCCTTTTTTGTTCAACTGAAAGCAGTCGCGGAACCCACCTCGCAGACACCTTGTGGAAACCCAACTCGTTGACAACGATTTTTTGAGTTCATTCATAAGAGATGCCTATAATCTCGGCTATCTCTCTAATTTTTAATCTGCGGTCTCCCATTATTAAATCAAGTACTTTTTTAATATTTTCGTCAGTAGTTGACGTCGAAGGCCTTCCAGAGCGGGGTTCATCTTTCACACTCTCTCTACCACGCTTAAATTCTGCTATCCATTTTTTGACGGATGAATATGACAGAGCACAATTGCCTAATGTACTGACCATGTCATCATGGATGGCTTTTGATGATAGCCCCTTCTTATGGAGGTACTTAATGACGGCACGCTGCTCGATTTGCTCCATTCGCGGAATATATGTCCGATTACTTTGTTAATAAATTTATAAAATCACAACTAATTATCACACACGTTTCGAACTTCACACAATGAACTAGTCTGAACTGAACTAAATAATGTGGGTAGATTTGATTTTTAGAATTGAATGGATCTGTGTTAGGCCGAGTACTTTTCAATCCACCCTCGTAGATATATGCCTCATTTACACTCTGCCACTGCCACTGCTCCTGTCGCTGCCGGAAATATATAAATACTTCTGCGGCAATAACGACGCGAGTCGGTGTTTACATTTAGCCTTCATACATTACTACTTTGTTGATCAACTCGCTACAATGACTGACGTCGAGTTTGTTGGTTTGACAGCATTATCTCCGGTCAGTTTAAGTAACTACCACGTGCAATTTTTGGTTTTTATCTTGAGGATCCCATATCACCCGCGCTGCATTTCATACAATTCTAAAAATTTTATTGTTCTATCATTATTCATTACTAAATATCATTAAAACACTGGACAGATTAAAAAACGAATAGCCGTTTTTAAACGTAGCACGTTCTTTCTCGGTCGAATTTCGGCGGCAAGTGAGGCAGAATGTAAACACTCGCTCCCGCTCGCGCTGCCCGTCCTTTGACTTCCGCGCGAAACACCGAACAATCGAGGCAGTGGCAGCGGCATGAGCAGTGACAGCGCGAGCAGCCTATTTGCATACTGCCCTGACCACTTCCTTGCTCACTTTTCTGCCTAACAAAGTTGAATGTAAATGGGGCAGTAGATAGGTGTGCACATCGCTAGAGAAGGTGTAGTTATAAGTAGGAGGTGTGAAGGGGCGAGTGGCGTGTGGCGTGTGAGTGAAACGCGTGCGGGTGTTGGTGTGGCAGAGCGCGGCGCGACGTGGCGGCGGCGCTGCTGCTGGCGGCGCTGTGGTGGGGCCGCGCGCCGCGCGCGCACCGCAAGCACCGCGGCGCGCGGCGCTAGAGCCGCCCTGAGCGCGACGCACCGCACCTATTTATTCTAGATAGAGCTAATGTTAACCAATTGGCGGGCGCGGCGGCCGCTGTGGCTCGCGCGCGCCGGCCGCGCCCGCGCCGGGCCCGCCCTCGGCCGCACCGGACATTTTATCCTCGTTATAGCAATATTCCTAGTAGTTAGGCCCGGCGGCGCGGCGGCGCGGCGGCCCGCGGGCGCGTTCCCACCGCCGCAACCTGTAATCTTTGAATCCTACATTTAAACGAGTACGATCGCTTGTAATTATATCCTAGACTTGTAACTATTTAGCTATTGTTGTGAATATTATGCATAGCGTCACCGCGGCGGCGCTGCGAACGCGCCGCGCGGGCGCCTCCGCGCCCTGTTGTACGAAAATTTTCATAATATATTATAGTTTTTGTTTGTCTTTATATAGAGATCGTTTTCATGAATAATTTTGAAAGTAACCAAAAATAGGTACCAAATATAGAAAAGATATGATTGTTTTTATTTTATTTTCAAAAAGCATTTTAATGCTTGCATGTTGTATTGTGTTCAAAAAAACTACAATTAAAAAAATAACCATAGCGCTATGTTTTAATTTTTAGTGATAAATATAGTTTTATCTTAAAGCCAAATCTCTTAAGTTAAAAATAAAGCTTTAAAAGTTTGTGTATATAACTTAAAATTTTTTACCAACTGATTCTTTTTTATACAGACATAAACGAAATGGTTCTTATTTCATAATACCAAAAGTTTTCTATTTACCGCTTTAATAAATCCCTCACGTGGAAGAATCCCTGTCCAACCGTGAACTATTTAAGGCCTGATGATGATGCATCAAATGCGGACATACCTTTGCCCAATCGTAATAAATCTAAGAATAATAAAAAGTGAAACCGGGGGTAAAAATTAATGAGATGAAAATAGGAAAATACCTATTATAATATAATGTACTCTGTAATATGGTACCAGTGGACTCTTGGCAGGCTGATGAAGATAAAGGTATGCATAGGTAAATGTATAAATCAACATACACCGAAATCACATTTCACACCGATCAGTTTAATGCGTCGTGTGTACTTTTGTCGATGTTCGTAACAAATAAGTGATATAATTTCCCATCCGATTATACTATCCGGATGGTTTCAAAGTAAGAATGAATACTAAGAACTACTAAGAACGAAATAAATATTATTGCACATTATAGTTGAAAAATTTATTGGAATCGAAACTTTTTAAATTTTCCAAATGTTCGCCATTTTCTTAAATACACAAATTACATCGCCGCGCAATGGTGTCTCGAAGCCTGCTTAACAAATTTCGTTAATTTTGGCCGCATTCGCCATACAATAAAATCATGTCTGTATACTCTACCGCACTGTAAAAATGCTGTTGTCTTGGCATTTTGTTAAAAAAATTACGCGTATACACAAGAGTTAAGTAGTGTCAATATCACACTAAAAATAAAAAATAAACTTAAAAACTCATTACACACACAAAGTTAAAGTATTTTATATAAATATAATACATTTGTTATTCGTTGACTGATAAAGAGCTATCGGTATTTAGCCATGGCAAACATGGCTGTAGTTTTTGAGTTATAAGAAAGTGACCATATTAACCGAATGGCCATAATATTACCCTCACGTAGTGTATATTAGAAACACTTCGTAAGAAGTACCTACTATGTACACCAAATATACCCTTAGAGGAAAATTAGTCCGGATGGGTACAACTGGTATTTAAAAAAAAAACAAAATAATATATAAAAATTTATTTGTGACAGTTTTACTTTGAGTAGGTATAAATACATTAAAAATAGACATATAAATGTGTATAGCTTGTCGGTCTTGGAGCCCAAAGGTTATTTAACAAGTGTAAACAAACAGTAAAATGTAGGTAATTTACGTCAATAATTAAGTTAACACAAGACTAAATGCGTACAAACATAGTATCTCACATATTATAGAAGACATGATTAAAATCACCCGCTATAGAAATAAAATGAAAATAATATTATTTGCTATGTTATGTGCCAGCCAACTAGCTTAATTATCCTTTCAGTTGAACAGCCTGGCCTTTTCACTGTTAACTACCGACCTGAATGTTTTTCAGCCCATGCGATGCAACCGATGCATTTAATACAACATTTCATGCCTAATTATGCACTATGTGCTATTATATAAATGTATGTGGCTGGGATGGCCCAAGAGCCAACCTAGCCGCACCATAACCTGCTGTCGCTGATATTAAGATTAAGGCGCTACTCCTAGCGGACGGCCTTGAGCGTTCGGTCCTATACAATCCACGCGCTCTCGCTACAATATATCGCGTAAGAAATAGGCCCAAATTTTTGGAATTATTTGAGTTAAAAAGAAAGGCGAACTTAAGAAATTAAATAAAACGTTAATAATATAGATTTTTAAATTATCTATTCATTACTGTAATCCTCAAATGTTTAGAGCGTTGCCTTTAGCAATAGATGCATGTAATCAATAATTTTAGTCATTTTTTAAAAGTTGATTTTAAATGTATTTATAACACATAAAAACAAATTAGAAGAATGTGATGATAGGATATCGAAACATAATAATGTGCTTTTAGACGTAGTTTATTTCTCATAACTAATGAGATAATAGTCTCCGAAAAACGCACTATCGCAAGGTTTTGGTCGGGGTATCACCTTAAGATAGTTGCAATGTTGTATTAGACGCATCGGCTGAATATTATTCAGGCCGCTAGCTGAATGGCTAGGCTAGGCGGTTAACTGAAAGGCTAATTATCTAAGCTAGTTGGCTGCGACATACACACTCAAAGTCTTTATTCTACGAAGCGCTAAAGGAGCACTACTTTGTAGTAAAAATATTATTTTAAAACAACAAGTGTGACTAATCAATCTTCCGTCTTTGAATCATTAAACATATGATAACAAAATTCAATCGAATTTGTAATTAATCATTCCAAATTTAGTAAATGAATGTAATTTCGAAAATATTAGGAAATATAGCTTCTCTCAAGGTCATTGTAGGAACGTGAATTAAAAGTGAATCAAAGAAATGTAGCGCGATTACAAAAGAAAATATACGTATAATATATAGATTCAAAGTTGGGGGGCAACATTGGTAGTTTGCTCCTGTTGACCAAAAGTTGGTAATGGTGAATGAAGGCAGGCGATGCGGAGAGGCTGCGCCAGCTTCAATGAGCGCGATTCATTGCGCTCCAGGGTCCCGGTTACCAGGGTATATGCCGCCGTGAAAAGTGTTACCACCTGATATGTAAGCAATAGTATTTATTTCGATTTCCGTGTGTTAAACTTATATTAAATAAGTAATGCCACAAAAAACTTTAATCACCGATTTATCACAAAAATTACTTGATTTGAAACAACAACCGGTAATAATTACCATAATTTGTCTGCAAAAATATTTTCGTTCGAATAAAATTTGTGAGCCTACAAGAAAAGTGTGAAAAGGATTTTACTAAGCTAGTACGTTTAAACATTAAGGACTGCATCACCACTTACCATCAGGTGGTATCATAGTCAAGCACTAGTTTTTGAGGCAAAGATGAGAGAATATAAAATAGGTAAGTATCAGATGCGAGGGGCAATTAAAGCTTAAACCATATTTCCGGCAGTTGGCTACTTTAAGACTATGAGAGACATATAAAAACGGAATTTATTCAGTTCTTATGTCAAAAAGTCTGTAAGCTTGTTCTACCGTTTTCTTCAAATTTTCACCCATCTTGTTGCTACTATAAACCTAAGAAGAATATCAGTCAAAACGTAAAAGGAATAGCAGCCAAAACCTAAGAGTCTTTTGTTATAGCATTGGGTGACAAACAAGCACCACGGTCCACCTGATGGTAAGCAGATGCTGTGGTCCATAGACATTCACATTTATCCTCAACTTAGGATCAAAATGCAAAGGCGTTGTCACCCCTGAGGACTAAAATTGAACGCCTCGATTCCAGTAAAAAGGGTTTCCGGTTCTTAAGGATTTTTTATATATATATATATATATATATATATAACCCAACACGTAAGTCTATGCCTTGGCTATTGCCATAGAATACTATAATACATACATAATAGAACGGGGGTGTGGGCGGACCCCGTGTAGCCACTAAAATGCCACTAACACGTCAGTTCACACGTATAAATGTCAACACGAGATGTGTTTTGACGTTACAATCGTTTCCAAATTTCGCATGAAAATTATTTAGAAAATGCGAAATTGCACGCTATTTACAAATAAATATGTATTAAAATCCGTCTGTCAACACAGCGAATCGGGCTTGTAGTAGTGATTAACTGATAATACGACGTAATTGCTTGTATGTGTGCTCCCGGCGACGCCTATCCTCGTACAAAGTAATATAAATAATTAAAATTTCTTAAGTGGCGGGACAAAAATAACCCCATGACGGTTTTAGGTAAATTAATGTTTAAAAAAAAATTAAAAGTACTTAAAATACAATATGTCATATATCAATAAACGCCAAAAAGTTTAATACTAAAATGCAGTTCGAGGTGAAAATTTACTGGCAGCACAAAATTGAGACAGCGGCGGGTATATTGTTATGTGATGCTAAATGATATAATTTGCTCCTCCCCCTATAGAATGGGTGCGTTTGGCAGAAAAAAGCGCTAGCAAGCGCTTATAAGCGCTAAAATAGTTTTCGGCCAGGACACGATTCCTACTTCAGTAGCGCCGACACAATCCGCCATTTTGCTTATTTAATTTGTTTGTTTTGAAGTAGAGTTTATAAGTTGTTTTGTGCAATATTAGTTTTAAGTAATATAATGACATGAATAAACATATACATGTTATTAAAAATTCATGATTGGTAAGTTTTTAATATGAATACTTTACAAACATATATTTAAATTAGATTATGTTCCCCCGTTAAAACTAACATCGTGTCCTGGAGGAAAATAGCTACTTATGATTTGACAGCGCTTACCGCTTACGATCGCCATTTTGCTTACAAGCGCTTGCTAGCGCTTTTTTCTGCCAAACGCACCCAATGTCTCATAGTAAGACCCATTTTTAGTAGTAGTAATAGTAGTAGTAGTAGTAGTAGTGGCAGCCATTCTATTGTGTATTATAGTATTCTATGGCTATTGCCACCGTAAAGCCATTGCAACGTGACACATTGTCTTATGTACTGTGTAAGACTTGAATATCACGATAAAGTCACACTGCACCATATTGTTATTCTACTAGGCGTTAGGACTTTTTCTGCCGAGTTTTCTTC